GAGGGTGGGGGCAACTGGAGAGCCACCGGGAGGGAAAAAGATGGCGCGATAGGGGTAGCAACGAGAAGGGTGCGTGGGAGGAAAGCGCGAGTTGATGAAACCGAATCGGACGGGAATGAAAGTCGGAAAAGATTTATGTTCGCGTTAATAACTGCGTCACAGTTCCTGGCGGCGCCGTCGACGATCTCGATTATGCTTCACGGTGGCAGGAAAAATCGATGAACCCTTCGACACCTCCTCTTGGTCGTGTTTTGCTAAAACAGAGCAGAATTAGGCTATCAGTTTGTCATTATTTTTTTTCCGTTTTAATTCATTATTTAATCATTTGTATTTTGTATAGAGACTTGATCAATATCAGCAGTTGTAATAATTAAAATTCAATTATTTGCAATTGTCAAAATAATGAGTAGTTGTGGCTATCGATCGAGTACTTTGTAATTACAATCGTGGGTTACATTTCGCCCAACAGTGACATGGGATTAGCTTCCATGGATCATTAGAAATTCAGCGATCAATGATCATTAGATCATTTAGTATTGTATACATTTTATTTTATCTCTCGCAAACGTAATTAGTTTATGATAATACAGATATGGAATACCTACTCACGGAAATATGGATAATTAAAAGTGCTTGGGGTAAATTCAGGAAAGCGGTGGAGCGTGGTAGATCGATCGCTCGCGAGAACGGATTCTACGAATTCTTCGGCGCGAGGTTTAAAGAATCACTCTTCCCTCGAGAAGTTTGGAGCGATCGTTGAAACTTCGTGGTCCATTCCCCGTTTCAGTCTTGAAAACTTCAGTGCACGCACGTCGCGTTTAGGAGGATCGATAATAGACTTCGAAATTTAATTCTTGAGAACCTCTATGTCGCTAGAAAAAATACTGGAGTGAAGGCAACTTAAAAAAAAAAAACAAAAACTTGTTAGGAATGTGATATCAAAATAGATTCATAAGATCTAAACATGGTCACGAAAAATGGTAAAACCTGAAGAAGTCGAGGAAACTTCACGCATTGAAAGAATTCACTTGGATTCCCTCGAGCCTCGGCTGCTTGTTTATACATTCTGGTTTGTTTGAAAATAAAATCGAATTTTTTGGTAGTCTCCGGTCCCCCTTTGATCATATCTTCTCTGTGCTACGCATCTGCAACTGACACACTTTTTAGAGACACGGCACTCGGTTCGCTATAGTGCTTTCCTACATAATTATATTCGACAGTTGTCGATCAATCTTAACCATCACTGATTTGCTAGACCATTTTATCTATTTTAGTTTTTTCAAACACGTAGAGAATAAATGTGATAGCAAAATGAAATCCACGGTTTATTTAAATACTGTATTTTCAAAGAAAATAATAAACTATATCAATTCACAATTTGAGAAAAGGACTAACTGGGAGTTAAAATAATAATAATAAAAACAATAATCACACACCTGTATTCCAGTAACATATTTATCCATACTAAATCATAAATTTAGAAACTTAAATTCAAAAAAATTTGTTAAAAAGACGAACTGGGAGTTAAACTAATAATAATAAAAAAAAAATAAACACACCTATATTCCAGTAACATATTTATCAGCACTAAATCATAACGAATCGAGATTGACGAATAGATGGCTGAAACATTTTTCCGTGGACTCGTACGAATCGCAAGCAGAAAAGTGGACCGAGAGGGGTGGCGCAGGATATTGACGCCAGCGAGAGCGGTGGTTTTCCGTTGTCTGGAAAGGCCTGTGCACTTTTCGCGCTACGAAATTGCTCCGCTAAAGGCGTCGGTTGCCGGAGCCCGACCGAAACTGCTCCCTGGGATCCCGTCTCGCATCTATTACGACTTACGTACACACAATCCTTGGGGCTTTCTCGTTTTTTTCTAGGCGAAAAATATGGGCGTTCTGGTTCCGCGCGACGCTACGGAAATGTCTGCATTACCGCACGCTCTCTCCACAATTTCCTTAGGGGCCGTCAATACGTCGACTTTAAATTGTTAGCATTTCATAACCGTATAGTGAATTCTATCTAATGATAAAAGGTGCGCGAAGTCCCTATCTAAGATATGCTTTGTCATCCCCTCCATTTCTTGTAACTGTTCGACTTGCATCATATGGGATAGGCCATCGTCTAGGAGGCATAGCCCAGAACCGAGACAGAATTCACTGTATCTCGAGATCGATAAGAAATGGAAAGTGTAAAGGGAAAAAAGTGGAATGGTATAGTAGTGACTACTTTTCTACGACTTCACTTTTGTCGTAACTACCGCGGTGTACGACAAAAAAACCAAGTAGTAGGTCATCTCATAAGTTCGTGCTACAGACTGATCCAATATTTAATAAAAAAAAGACAGAAATTTTATAGTGATGGTATAATGACTATATCAGAAAGGTGGAAATGTATTGTAAAACGAGAGAGATTACTTTTTCTTATAACACTTAAAGGTATATTTCATATATTAATTTAAGTGGCATAAACTTATGGGACGTCCTAATAATATGCATTTAATACAGTAAAATGTTCGTTTTGTGGCAAATTTTCAATCGCAGAATGCGTACGTAGCTTCATCTCGGAGAAGCCCTCCTGCAAACGGAGTAGACTTGATGGAATATCGTATTACATCTGCGACAGACGCGGTCTCGGTTGGAGACACGAGCCAGGTACAGGGGTTGCGGCGGATGCACGCGGAAACGTAGGACGCCCGATTCGCTATTAGAGGGTAATACGTATTATCGATTTTGGAACGAGGCAGAGGTTATCCCGGTTCAAATCGTGACAAATGCACGCTGGTGTGCGCCCCCGGTTGTCCACGTGCATCTGTGTGCGACGCGGCGGCGTGGCCGCACCCTGGAAAAACTTTTTCCAATCTTTTTTCCCCCACCCTCTATCGACGGTCGCATATATCGCTCGAAAACTGGTCCCTCGGATTAGCCTCCGTCGTGCACGCGTTTCTCCGTCTGTAGAAGCTCGAAATTTTTGTTCGGTTTATTATTTTGAACATACCTGTAGTGGCCATGGAAGCTGCGTTGGTTCGGAGAATATAGTTTTGCAAAAATACGAAGATGAAAATTAATGAAGACCATCGGGTATTGTTTTAGATGCGTGAGGCTGAGTATTGATAAATTACTAAAGTGTGACGTAATCGACGCATTCGTCGAGTTTTCAGTCGTAACTCAAATGTACGCAAATGTTGGCCAGGATAAACGATTCAGTATCGTTATCGCGATCGAACCAACCGCATCGATGCATCGCGAAATGCCATAAGCTCACGTGCCGCGCGTCACTAGATTCGCGTAGAGATTTACGCGTATCGCGGAGACATGAGAGTCTTGGTCAGAAATACAGTCCATGGTAAAAATATAGCATATAGCGCACTAAATTTATTTTTGCCATTAATTCATGTCGAATCATTGTTGAATTCCTACCTGAAGGTAGCGATTAATGTACCATATGGCTATTAATATTTTAAACATTATTTTTACGTTATGAACGTAATGAAAGGACGCGCTGTCTTCTTGGCGTGGACTGTGAAGGAAGCTGTCGCCGATCCATCGTCGTTTCGTCTCTCGTGGACGTCGATGTACAGCATAAAGTCTCGTGGAGAAAAAGAGTTGGCAGTATTGACAGGCACGGTGAGAAATTGCCGGGTTAATTGCGAAAGAAACTGCGAACGGAACGAGGCATCCTGGCTCGCGAGTTAAATATCCTGTGCTACTGGTTGCCCGACTCGGGATCCCAGAAAAAGCAGCGAGTTTAAAGGAATTAGTTACGTTTTGCCTTGATCCACGAACAGAATGTTGACGGATGCTTCCTCTTTTTCGATCTAGAAGTCATTATCGCGTGCCTTATTTCTTTGCCATCGTCCTGATTCACGCGACTATCGTTGGGTGTCCTCTACGTGCGAGGTGCAATGAGTTAAAATTAATAACCGTTAGGATTAAATGTAAAATTGCATAATATATTCTCCATTTTTAAAAGCGTGAGTTCTACTACCGTCGAATAGATTCTTCGTTGCAATGGCAAATGCGATGCTGAAAGATGTCGAAAGACTTTGAAAAATGTTTAATATAAATCTTCACCGCATTAAATGTCCCTATAAATAATGTCCAGATCTGCTAAGTAGCCTCGTTAACATGATCACTAGCACTTCCTGCTTATTCTTCTTTCATTCTTGCCTCAATCTAAGACAAGGATCTGAGACAACATAAAGGACTGAGGCAAGAATGGAAAGGGAGTAAGTAGGAAGTGCTGGTGAACTCTTTACTAAGTAAGGTTAACCCTTTCAGTAATTTAATTTTTAGGGTTAACTTGGACTAAAATTAGTATGGAAAAAATAAAAAAAATTCTAATCGTATAGTTTTGAAATTGTTGAAAAATCTTTCTGTTAAAAGATAAATAATAGAACGCGAGCATTTGTATAAGGAACAATTATAATATATATTTTGTGAAAATTAGATACAAAATAATCCAGAATTAGAAAAGTTAAGATTGACTTAGCGCTTTTATAAACGTATGCTTTCAAAGACCGTGTATCGTCGACTGACTAGTCAAATCATATTCCCCGATACCGTGGAAAGACCGTTAGCTTTAATGTTTTTGTACAACGGTCTGCTCCTTTGTTGTTTATGTACATTGATAATACACATCTTTCCCTTTCCGCATTATAGAATGCTAATATGTATATATATATGGTACATATATTTTCAACATGTAGTTTCCGAGGTAAACTGATTTTCCTTCATGTACAAATACATAAGAACATTCGCCTTAAACGATAGTGTCTGTAATTTTTAAATTTTGTGTCCTCAATTGTGGACACCAGCTCTGAAAAGGTTAACTAGCAGATCTTTATAGCTTCTAATGTAATCCAAGAAGTATTCAACAGTTTTCCTTACAAACGATACATTAAAAGAGTTTGTTAAGTGCCCAACCACGAATCTCTTTGTCACCCACCCTATCCCAGTTATACTTGACTAATCGATATTTCCTCTTTCTCGTTTCAGCAGCAAAAATTCGTGAAGAGGACGGCCGAGGAGTTGGAGCCATCCGGTGGCGGTAGCGGTGACGCTGGGTTCGGGGAGCCCCCGGTGAAGCTGCAATGCACGCAGGCGCAGCATCAGCACCAGCAAGGTCCCGGAGGCGGCGGTGGGGGTGGGCCTCATCACGGCCACGGTCAACACACGCCTGGAAACGGCGCGAATTCGACGGGCCCGACTCACGGTGGCGGCGGCGGCGGTGGCGGAGGCGGTGGGAACGAAGGTCTGACCAAGTTCTCGGTGGAGATCGTTCAGCAGCTGGAGTTCACCACGTCCGCTGCGAACTCTCAGGCCCAACAGATATCAACGAACGTGACCGTGAAAGCCTTGACGAACGCTTCGGTGAAGAGCGACCTGCTGAACGCCTCGTCGTCGCCAAAGTCGGGACCGGATACGCCAGCGTCGCAGACGTCAAGGTCTCAAACCGGCGGTGGCGGTGGTCCTGGCAACGGTCCTGGCGGTGGAGGCGGTGGTCCACCTCCAGGAGGTGGCATCGGTTGCGTGGACATAGGTAACTTGGTGGAGTGCAAGCAAGAACCTGACAACGAGTTCGTTGACCTGGAGCAGTGCGCTGCCGCGCTGGAGAAAGACGCTGCAGCCAACGGCGCCGGGTTCCCCGGGTTCTCCGACTTCATGGGAGACGATACGGGCGACGAGATCATCACCTCCGACGCCTTCAAGGATCTCATTTCCGAGATCTCCGATTTCCATCCGGAGTTCATGAAGGATTTCGGCTTCGAGGAGAAGATACCGGTGGAAGCACTGGCGAACAACGCTGCGGTGGCGGCTGCCGCAGCCGCAGCAGCGAACAACAACAACAACAACAATAACAACAACAGCATCGGGACGAATAACGGGCAGATCAAGATCGAGGACGACAAGGACTCGATACATCAGCAGCACGGGAACGCTAATAACAACAGCGTGAACAACGGCACCGGGACGAACAACGGGAACGTGCCTGCTAATTCCAGTCCAGGTGCACTTGGCTCGGCCCAGTACTCGCCTGCTAGATTGCCTTATTCGAGCCTGGATTTCAAGTCTGAGATGAGTCCCGCCGCCCAGACTTTGAAACAAATGGCCGAGCAGCATCAGCACAAGAGCCAACAGCTTGGTCTTGGTGGTTTCAACCCCAGCGCTGCCGCCGCAGCCAGAGGACCTACTGCTAGGTCTCCTTACGCGGAGTTCCCTCAATTCGGTAGCACGCCTGACTATCTTGGTAGCCCTGGCAGCAACGGACCACCGGGTGGACAGCCCCAAGCGACGACTGGCACCGGTTCTTATCACAAAAACAACGGCGCGTCGGGATTCCAGAGCCAGCAGACCAACGACATGTTCGTCAGCTCCCAGACTCAATTTGCTACGGGGTTGGCGGACATGAAGAGACCACAGCCTGCCGGTGGCGGTAAACCGAGCATGCTAGGTCCAAGCGGAGGATATAAGCAGCAGTATTCGCCGTACGGCGGTAGTCCAGGATCGATGCCGAACCACGGGAGTCCCGGTTATCCGCTTCCACCCAGAGGTTCCCAGGGAGCTGGACCCAATCAAACCAGCTCCCAGGGACCCTTCACTAGCTCCACGCCGCCGAGACCTCCCTCGGGACCCGGCACTTCCTCCCTGCAAATCAACCAGGTCCAGCAGCTACACATCAACAATCCAGGACATCAGATTCAGGTTAGTGGGAATCTTGGCTTGTTATCGTGTTTAGTGGTTGGGATTGTCGGCCGTCGAATGGGTTTCTCAATAGATGCGGCTAATCGTGGTCCTAGTATCGATGGCGTTGGAGGATGTTGGGTGCAAGTGACTTTAGGTTGTGTGTCAACTTATTTTACACCGAGCAGAAATGGCAAATTCATAGTCGAATAGAAATTTTGAAACATAGAAGATGAATAAATTCTATATAATTGTGAATGTAATCGAAAACATTATTTACATCCAAGCAGGAATCATCTTATCGTATACCAAATATCGATCTTCATTATTTTATAATCGAAAACCCCTCTATCGATACTTTGTGATTTTCCTACTACCTTTCACATGATCCTGCAAAGGTGATGAAGGGGTTTTCTAAGACTCGCCGCTTATAACATCTAAATGCGTAACCACTGGCAGTGGTTTTCCGCCTAAACATCGATCGACAAAAGCCTTCAAGGCTTTAGTTTTCGGCAGAGCCGGGACCAGGACCCTATCTCAGCGCTCGGTATAATCACTCTCGTTGTTAAGTGGGCTACTGTCTAGAGAAACGTTTTGCTACTTTGTTTCTTTATGAACTCTAGACGTTAATACGTTTAGTGCCAAGTCGTTTTTGCTCGACTTGTCAATCAGACCATTTGATGTTTTGGCTAAAAATTGATATATTATCACACAATATTTCATTACATCATCAATTCATAACTAGTTAGCTTGTTTAGAGTGGTTATCATATCGTGTGTCACTTGTGCTTCATTCTTTTGGTGGAAATATATTTTACAGAATTAAATTTGTCATAAAATATATGTTTTCAGCGAATTAAATAAATATGTCTGCGTGTACCATTTATTTTACACATGACCTGAAGGTCAAGTTTAGCGTGTACCACCGGTGATATACGTGGCACGAAATGTGTTAATGATTTCGAGTTTTTACGTTCGCGGACTCATAGACACTTACATCAGCTGACTGACATAAAAATGGTGTACTAACAAAAGAACCACCCTCAATTCCTTGTAACTACGTACCAGATTGTAAAACGTGGAAGGAACTATTTCATTATTCGAAGAACGGTGATAAAGAACAAAGAATTATTTAATTATCGAGATCGCGAAGGATGAGGAAATGGAATGCAAGATTCAGGACGAAGTCGTCGGAATTCCTCGCGCGCGAGCCAGGCGAGGCCGAATGATATCTGTTGCGTCGCGACGACACGTCTATTTTTGTCGGGCGGGATTACGAGTCGAAGTCGGTGGCGTCGACGACGTAGCTGACGGGTGGTGGTGGTAACGACGTCGACTGGTGGCGTCGCCAGCGAAGGGGCGCGCTGGCCCCAGTGCTTCCCAACAGGTGTGACGCGGCACTTTCTTCTGGCGTGATAAGACTGTTTTTCATTCATTATTCGAAAAGTTTTGTCCAGATAAGAATTTACCCAAGTCCAGTCACGAAAATCACAAAATAAAGGAGTTTTCCATTGTAAAATAGCGAAAATCGATATTTGATATACAATAAGATGGTTCCTGCTTGGATGAGAATAATGTTTTCATGGTAGTGTAACGATTAAACAATTACATTCACAATTACAGTCAGTCCTAAAAATATTCATACCCTCTGTGTTTATCGTGAAGTTTATCTAAATTAAATGGCAAATCTATCATTTAATTTAATAAAATTTCTTCGATAGACATAGACGATGTTCTGGAATTCTTTTTTTCAAAATTTCTATTCGACTATGAATTTTTCATTTCTGCTCGGTGTAAAATAGGTTGAGAAGCACTGGCCCAGTGAACGATGCTAACGGTAACGTCGAGCAACGCGAAGGGCGGAAACGAAGGGGTGCACTGGCGTCACGAGGGCGCCGCGACGCGCAACAAGTAGTCTACCCCCTCCGTAGCTCTCTTTATAAATTTTCCTTCTCGCCTTCCCCGTCCTTCGATGAAACACGAGGGTGGGGGAAGGAGAACGATCGACGGAGGAGAAAAGAGGGCTGCATGGCCGCGCGCAGCCCGCGTCGCGACGCCGCCACCGTCTGCTCGATTTAACCTGCGCCTGCAACCCGCGTCAATACGCTCTGGTCGGTAGTCGCGAGGCTGCACTCGCGACAACCTGCACGGGAGCTGACTTTGTTCTCGTCGATTTATTATCGAGCGTTGTTTTATTTATATAAAACGACGCGGAAGTGGCATACGCGACAAGCGGCGTTCGGCATGAATGGCGTAATACTTGGCGCCGTGTCGTCAGTGGAACGCTCTTTCCACCGATGGATCCCGCGACGCCATTCAAATGGAAAGAATCAGACAATTTTTGGACGGTAACCTTTTATTTTTGTTGAGTTGGATTCACATTAGAAAATATCTAATATCAGGAAAGGACAGGTTTTAATAACTATAGATACTATTATCAGTTCTGCTTAGGTTTAAGTAATCTTAATTTGGGATTATTTTATGTTTTAGTTCTGGTTAATCTATGCCGATCAACGGTTCGAATTATATAATACGCTGATGACGAGACTAGCTATGCAATTATAAAAAGTTCGGTTATAGTTTGAGTTTCCAAATAATTTTTCCTTATTTCTTATTGAATGAAAGTATCAAATCGATATCATTTTTGGGTCACTCCTCCTTGATCATCAGCTCCATCACACAAGAGAAAGATACAGATCCAATTTTCTTTTAATTTCCACTCTCAATGTAAGGGTGGAAGAACAAGTTTCAGATGTCATCTGGAAGCTACCGATAGAGGAAACCGGAGTCTGTCCAAACGGTTACTCGATTGTATAAAATCCCTCGTCTATTGTGACCGCCTCGAACAGATCTTATCTAGCTCTTCCAACGAACGCTTCGGAACACCGAAACCTACTCTGTCCCAATCACGTATGGACACGTCTATCCCTCGTAAATCACGCCAGCTATCGCGCGTATTTGCATCTCAATGCGTGTCGAGACGAATGACGCCTCCCTTCTTCTTCATCCCTTTCCATGCTTCTTCCATATTCCATTTTGTCTTCTTAGATTCTTCCTCTTAGTAGTATTGTTATCAGTAGGTCTTAAAATGTGTTTTTCTGTAAAAAATCATCCTTACATCCGTTTACATTAGAGTTCCTTCGACGAATGACTCATAATCAAAGATAATGGCTTCAAAACAGTTTTCTCTTCGAGGTCAACCATCTCCAAGACCAGATTTTCCTCCCAATGCTCGATTCATACAATTAACCAGCCCTGACACGTCACAATAAACAAGATACTATCGTATCTTTATCTCAAGACCTGATTTTTATGGACGGATTGCCTCAAACTATTTACCACAGGTCATCACCCTTCATGCACGCTTCCGTTGGTACGAAACGTGTCGAAAATTTAAAGCAACGTCATATCAAAGAACATTATCTCGCCAGGAATTTGCATATCAGTCTCCTGCGAGACCAAAAACGGTCGACTTTCCCACGTTGTTTTCCTTCGGTTAATCGGCTCGGGTTATCGCGACGGAAGTCGAAAAGGTGCCGAAACGAGCCACGTTAATCGTCACATATCCCCCTACCCCAACCCTCGTGCTTTTCTATCAAGAGCTCGTGTTCCACCGCGCAGAAAGCTGCTGGAAATTATAACGATTACGCATTGTTATCGAATTCAGACGCTAACGCGCGGAATGTAAACGACTTGAACATTTGGGTCACAGGCGTTGCGTCGCGTTGGCGTTCATGCGTGACTCCGCGATGGAAATGGATTAAGTCTAGAAGAATTAACACGAACGTTTCGGGACGCAAATAACTCGTGACATTTTACGTTTCATTCCATCGTCGATGGGCTGAAAGATTTCGAGGTGGGACATATTTTTCAATTGTGTCCAATTCTGCTTTTGGTTCAATAGTTGAAGGAGATTTAAACGAAGAATTCTTAATCTATAATAGTATAAAATATTCAATAAATTATTTCTTGTTTAACACTATTTTAAACGTGTCAGAATCACATTTCTTAGCGAGCGGTTAAATTCGCGTTGAGAATATCGATCGACTTTTGAATTCTGACCAACTTTTGGGATATCTCTCCTCTGTTCCCGAGGGGCGGGAGGGAATTACACCACACGTGTTGGCGCGTACTCGAAACACGTACGATCGAAGGTTTACGTAACCTTTGAACCCGAACGGAACGCGCTTGCGCGCACGGTCAATTTCCGGCAATACGCGTGTGTCCGTTTATTAAGAAGCGCGACGAGGAAAACACTCGTACTCGGATATTCTGATCCGTTGTTGTTGGAATCGGTCCAAAAGGCACGCGAAGTATCGCAATCGGAGCCGACGTCGATCGGAAACTTCGCAACCTTCGTCCCGCTGCTCAAGGATGAGTAGCTAGATATTTCAATTTATCTCGCGATCCAGTAACATCTTCGCTATCCGAATTCGTAGGGTTGCAAGGCCTGGATGTTTACGAGATATATTAGGTTGGCTAAAAAGTTTGTTCGGATCTTAAGGCACAAATAAACAGCGATTTTTTTTTTTAGCCAATGAAATATATTTACTCTGTTACATATGGTCTATGATCTTTTCCATCTTTTGGGAATACGCATGATTCATAGCCAAGCGAACTGCAGAGAAACATACATCATCACAAACTGACCAAACTTTTTGGCCAAGCTAATATAAGAGGAGGAATTAGGATCTCCTTTTTTTAAATATGGAATTTAGTGAATTCATTTAACCCATTCACTGCCAACTACGAGATGCCTCGAAGTTCAAATTGATTGCAATTACTCAAGGGATAAGTTTATAGTTTATATCCTTTTGAGTCACGAATTATTGGAAAAAAAGATCGTAAAGTTTCTTTTTAAAACAACAATTTTAATATTACTTTTTATTATTAAAATAATAACCTAGATTACACCTCAAGGTAAAACGCTTTAAATTTACTTGGCAGAGTATGGGTTCAAATGTAAACCTACGAACTACTTAGTCTAGATATCACCGTAGAATTGAAATTCTCATTATGGAT